GGCTCCCCCTGTATCGTCAGAACGATACACATTTCGTTTCACATAGTGAAACGACCGTGGGGGTCGCAACGTGATACAAGTGCTGATTGAGCCGTCTTCGTCAGTCAGTTTTATTGAAGTAGGTTTAGATTTTTTCCTATTTAGAAGACTGTTTATCATTTGCCACTGCTTCTTAGAATTTTCTTTGTTTTGCTCAAAAAATTTTTTGAAGTGCTTGTTTTTAGCTTTATCGATGTGTTTATTACAAAACTTCTTCAGACGGTCATATTTACTGCGGTTGCTATCAGATGGTTCCTTAACAAAATCATAATATGACTCATTTTTACGTTCTATAGCTTCTTCGAGCCAGGGCAGCATCCATGGTTTCGGATTAACACGTTCATTTTGTCTTCGTGATTGTCTTTTTGTAGGATACGCAGACTCGTAAATCTTATTATAAGCCGTATTAAAATTATTGAACTGTTCGTTGGCATCATTGGTATTGTTAAAAATTTCTGACCAACTTTCATCTATAATTAAGTCTCTGAATTTTTGATTGTTGGTGTCGTTAAATCTACGTGTTTCAGTTTGAGATACATTTTGTGAGTTAGACGCAGAGCGGTAGCTGCTGGTTGGCGTGTTATCAAGATTTATTGTAGTGACTATTGCTAAGTGATCCGACATATCTGTCGTTAAGACATTACAGCTTATTGTATCCTCAAGATTGTTTGTGTAGATGTGGTCAATAAGCGTGGCACTATGGTCCGTTAGGCGAGTTGGGCGTGATACAATTTGAATAAAACCGTAAGAGGAAGCAATATCTATAATGTTCTGACATGCTTGGTCGCTGCTGTGCTTCAGTAAATCAAGGTTGAAATCTCCATGAAGCGTCATATGTTTACGGGTGTGTCTCCCTAGGTTGTGCAGCGTATTTTTGAAAATTTCTAGAAACGCTTTAGGTCTCCTAGTGGGAGAACGGTAAACATTGCCATTGGACTGATTATAAAACCCAAGCCTCCATGGCGACTGTCCAACTGCTCGAACAGAAACAAGTTAAAACCGTTGCGCAAAACAAGGCTGTCTGATTCGGTGACTTTAGTTTCCTGCAGAGCGCAGATGTCGACATTGTACTTTTCACAGTCTAATCCTAGTAACTCACGTTTACTATGTAGGCTATCATCTTGCTGAACACCGAGCCCACGGATGTTAAACGTGGCGAAGCTGATCATTAATGCAATGGTTGTTGATACAAATGATTTCTTCTTCGGGTTAAATATGTTGGAGTTGGCGTCACCACCGTCTCCACCGCTGACATTACTCGAACGGACCATCTAAAATTGTAAATTATCACCTAATCCATTTCGTTTTGCTTGTAAATGTATTCGGATTTCATAATGTAGGTATCTTTATGAAACGTGACTGTATCAGTCCGACCGACCCAGCGCAGTCAGCATGGCTATGTAATGACCGGAACACGATAACCAGCCTTGTCGCCAGACCAGCGCCCTGCTTACCAACCTACCGGCACCCGACCAACCTCTGACCGGCGCCCGACCGACCTCCGGGAAAAAAATTTTGGACTTAGAAAATGTTCGGTCCGACTCATTCTCGATAAGTACCTTCTGTATCGAGAGCTCCCACTTCCGAGCTCATGTTGCAAAGGCCCGGAAAGGGGAGGCCTGCCTTCCGAGATCACATTACCAGGGGAGCCTCGAGTCCAAAATTGTGTCATAGAATGGTCGCCCGACCTACCTCCGACCGACCTCCGACCTACCTCCGACCGGCGCCCAACCGGCGCCCGACCGACCTCCGACCGGCGCCCGACCGACCTCCGGCCGACCTCCAACCGACATCCGACCGGCACCAGACCGACTACCGACCGACCTCCGACCGGCGCCCAACCGACCTCCCACCGGCGCCCGCCCGAAAAACTTGACTTAGAAAATGTTCGGTCCGACTCATTCTCGATACGTACCTTCTGTATCGAGAGCTCCCGCTTCCGAGCTCGTGTTGCAAAGGGGAGGCCTGCCTTCCGAGATCACATTACCAGGGGGAGCCCCGAGTCCAAAATTGTGTCATAGAATGGTCGCCCGACCTACCTCCGACCGACCTCCGACCGACCTCCTACCGGCGCCCGACCGACCTCCGACCGACCTCCGACCGACCTCCGACCGACCTCCGACCGACCTCCGACCGACCTCCGACCGACCTCCGACCGACCTCCGACCGACCTCCGTCCGACCTCCGACCGACCTCCGACCAACCTCCGACCGACCGCCGACCGACCGGCGCCCGACCGACCTCCGACCGACCTCCGACCGACCGACCTCCGACCGACCTCCGACCGACCTCCGACCGACCTCCGACCGACCTCCGACCGACCTTCGACCGACCTCCGACCGGCGTTCACCTACCGCCGACCGGCGCCCGACCGACCTCCGACCGACCTCCGACCGACCAGCCTTGTCTGATCTATGACCGATACTTCTGCAGAAAACCTTAAATAGTAATCCGTTTATAAAGATTTAATGATATATATCACCCACAGGTCACAATAATATAAGCGTTATCATTCATGCTTTGTAGTGCTTATGTAGTTTAAACTTTTTATGAGCGTTTCTCCAGAATTTTGACAATTTCCCTGAATTTTTTCCTTGCTCTTGCCGAAGGCAAAAAGATTGTAGGGAATAAGTAATCGGGTTTGGATATATGAGGTGGCCCGACGGTCCTACGTTGACGACAAAAGTAGGTAGTGCGCCATCGACAGTGAGCCGCGCGTGCCGACTGTAGGATGGTTTTTTAGCGCTAATTTCGGCCAGCACAATTTTCTTCAAACAAATAGATATTGAGTATACTTCCCGACCTCCAATTGCAACAAAAATTGGTAAGCTTACTCATAGACTTACTAGGAAAGTGTCCGAAAAATTTAAAGCATATCCAACCATCAGACATTATGTTACAGCTAAAAGCAGCGTATTTTGCCCTGTTTTGATCACTATATTGTATATATCAACTCTGATATTTAGATCTACCATACTTTTCGGACAGTTGTAAAAGCCCTATTGAAAGGTCGTCGCTAAGTTTCAGAATGATCTCATTCAAGGAAAGCTGAAGATATATCCGAATAATACGACAAAAATCAACGAATTTTGTCAAATTACGCAACTTTTACAGCTATTTTGAGCTAATTTTGCTCCCAAAGCCGCGCACCATCAAATATGGCACCTAGGCGAATTTTACTAATCTTTCCAAAAAGGTATAACAAATTTGGTATTGCGAAAATTCTCACAGTCTCTAGAAAACAGTGGTACAAAATTTTTAAAAATCCGAGCAAGTTTATTTTTATCGTGCAGTACCCCCTAACAAAAGTCTGCTCCTTCGCAATATAAACCATTCCCCTATATTTATAATTATGTGTACAGGACGCGTCTATGTTATGCTGCGCGTGACGCTAGCCATGTGTTACTGTTAATTATTTACGGTAACGTTTAACGGGTAATACTCGTAAAATATTTGTTCCAATCATTACAGGACTTGATACATGTTTCGTATCCCAATACCAGAGATAATATGGATACACCAGGAAGGAACACCTCTGCGCGGCGTAAGTAAATTTACAAGTTCGCGCGAAAAATTGTCTTATTTTCCTGGCGCTTTGTTCTCGCGCCGGGAGTGAATCACTAATTAGCTAAATACTCAACTAGCATAATCTACAATATAGATCTATAATACGAAGTAAGAGTTGCCACGTTACTGTTTTATTTCTCCGTTAAGCCTACAATTCTAATAACTAACAATTGAGTATGAGGTCAATTAAATTTCCATAGATATGGATTATAAAATTATATAAACAAATAATTGAACAGCATGAGACAAGTTGAAAACACACAAACGAATAAATGACAAGCTCGTTAAGGATCGTTGCTTGATATTGGAGATTTCAAAACTGTAGTCCTAGGGTGGATGGTTTTTTTAATCGTTTTTATGGAATTGGTACCGTTGTAAAGCTTACATTATGACAGTTCAGATGGCGAAAATTTGATCGAAAATGGACCTGACATTGTTTTGGAAATAACAATCATATCAAATGAGTTTACAATAATATCCATGACCAATTTAACCATATAAAGAAATACGGTCGGTGATCCAGTATTGAGCCTATGTGCAACTGTGCAAGTTCAGTATTCTAATTGCCCCTTCGATCAACTAAGGTGCGTCTTACTTGCAGTCATGTGACCGAGATCACTTGATAGCACCTTTTCATAATAATAGCCCTCAGGATCGCGTTGGTTACGTTCACCGTAATGTGTATTGAGGTATGTGCTGTACTTGGCGGGCTATGTTTCAATATATAATATCAGAGATTAGTATATACATTCTACTCTGACTCATTCAATAAATATTCCTGCTATGTTGGAACACACAGGGGAATACCAAAATATTAAAACATAACCCTGAGCAAAATTAATTGTAGTTGTACAGTGTACACCTAATATGATCAATAAAACTAACTTATAGTTATTCTTATCGGACTTTATTTTTACGGACATAAGTTAATAATTGCAAATGCTACAAGCTAAGCTCGATCGATCTTGGTTGACGATGTCGACCCATCGAGATCGTTGCTCTGCGAAGCAGAGCAACGATCGACGATGCAAGAATGTTAGTTCGCGCGGCGCGTCGAAGCGGCGAAGTCCTCCAAGATCGATCTAGCGTTCATTTTAATGCCCGCTCAAAGTTATGCCCGTTGACATTATGTCCGGTGGCGATACGGATAAAACAACGTCCGATGAGCTATGTTTAAAAAATAACCTTTAGAACTAAAAGCAAGTGTGAAGTGTGAATTGACCGTTGCGAATTGCGATAAGTTCAACATGGCACGCTTCCACCCCGGCACGCGCAGATGGGACCTCCTTTGGACGTTTTATTGCTTATTTTGATAGGAAACGTTTTGTAGCCGAATGAAGATAACAACTTTTTATTTGAGTTATTAATTATGATACAATGTGATTGCAAATTAATTGGCAAACATTACTGTAAAAGATTCATAAAAATTGGTAGAATTTTAAAGTTAATATGATTAAAAGACTCCGCACATAACCAACTTTTTAAAAAAATACGCGTCAAAGATTAGTAGTTCAATTGCGAATATCATATTTTGTTAAAAGTTTTGTTTGCTTTTTGACCTTATACTCCGATAGCCGAATATTTTATCTACAATACAATATAATTTTTATGTACACATTAACCTAATTTAAAAAATGAGTGAAGCTAGAACGAAAGAGATGTTGCGACGATAATTTCTAGTTTTAGTAGCGCAATAGAATACGTCAATAATACCCTCTTGAAACAATATTTAGGCTTCAAGTTCATTACAAATAACGTTAATAGTATTCACAGTCAGTTTTTAGACTGACTTTAATTCTATCACACGAAACAAAGGTCAGTGAGTAGTAAACCCTTTATTCAAAATTATCACTTTCATTTGAATCCAGAGCAAACAGGAGATTCATTTTACATGTTGCAGTATCGGGTCTGATTACGGTTTCCAATGGTTTCCACTTCTGAAAATAAATCTGAAATGAAGCTAAGAAATAAATAATGTACACATATGAAATACATGATAGATTCTTATTCTTAAGACGGGACCCCCGCGGTCCCGTCTTAACTCGTCGAGGGCACACTAGAAAATTCCCGCGCTTTTAATTTGCGCGTCACTTATATACTTTTCCTAAGGGTTTAGTGGTCAATGGGAGGTCCCATCTTACAGCGTCGATTTCAAATCTTAAGGCAACTGTGAAATTTAGTTGAACTTAATAATTTTGTTTTTTTCTTTGTTGTGACTCTGAAAATGATTATTCCAGAAGTTTATGAAATTCGGAACTTACGTAGCGGTAGATGAGGGCAATTTTCGATACTAGAAGCTTCATAATTCTTTTCATCCACCTAGGACTGCTTCAGAAAGATTTCTTATTTTGTAGAATTCTAAACTGAAAAAGTTGAAAGTATCATTATAAGAAATGCATAAATTCCACAATAAGACTATTGGTTATTCTTTAATCGTGAGACATTAATTGTTAATGCTTAAAAGTAATTCGTCTGGACGAATCCACGAGTACAATATGGGCCGGGGTAGGTGTGCTGGGTATTATTTAGTAGGGTATTTATAAAACACATTATTTGGCCGTTTTAGATATTGAAATGAGTGCCAGGAGTCAGTTTTGTGGATTATATTGCTGACTTTAAGGGGGTTTTAAAAAGGTGTAAATAGTTGGATAAGTGTAAAACACATTGTCTGGCCGTTTCAGATCCTGAAATGAGTGCCAGGAGTCAGTTTTGTGGATTATATTGCTGACTTTAAAGTGGTTTAAAAAGGTGTAAATAGTTGGATAGTGTAAAACACGTTATTTGGCCGTTTAAGATCCTGAAATGAGTGCCAGGAGTCAGTTTTGTGGGTTATATTACTGGCTTTAAAGGGGTTTTAAAAAGGTGTAAATAGTTGGATAAGTGTAAAACACATTGTCTGGCCGTTTAAGATCCTAAAATGAGTGCCAGGAGTCAGTTTTGTGGATTATATTACTGGCTTTAAAGGGGTTTTAAAAAGGTGTAAATAGTTGGATAAGTGTAAAACACATTGTCTGGCCGTTTCAGATCCTGAAATGAGTGCCAGGAGTCAGTTTTGTGGATTATATTGCTGACTTTAAGGGGGTTTTAAAAAGGTGTAAATTAGTTGGATAAGTGTAAAACACATTGTCTGGCCGTTTCAGATCCTGAAATGAGTGCCAGGAGTCAGTTTTGTGGGTTATATTACTGGCTTTAAAGTGGTTTAAAAGGTGTAAATAGTTGGATAAGTGTAAAACACGTTATTTGGCCGTTTAAGATCCTGAAATGAGTGCCAGGAGTCAGTTTTGTGGATTATATTGCTGACTTTAAGGGGGTTTTAAAAAGGTGTAAATAGTTGGATAAGTGTAAAACACATTGTCTGGCCGTTTCAGATCCTGAAATGAGTGCCAGGAGTCAGTTTTGTGGATTATATTGCTGACTTTAAAGTGGTTTAAAAAGGTGTAAATAGTTGGATAAGTGTAAAACACGTTATTTGGCCGTTTAAGATCCTGAAATGAGTGCCAGGAGTCAGTTTTGTGGATTATATTGCTGACTTTAAAGTGGTTTAAAAAGGTGTAAATAGTTGGATAAGTGTAAAACACGTTATTTGGCCGTTTAAGATCCTGAAATGAGTGCCAGGAGTCAGTTTTGTGGATTATATTGCTGACTTTAAGGGGGTTTAAAAAGGTGTAAATAGTTGGATAAGTGTAAAACACATTGTCTGGCCGTTTCAGATCCTGAAATGAGTGCCAGGAGTCAGTTTTGTGGGTTATATTACTGGCTTTAAAGGGGTTTTAAAAAGGTGTAAATAGTTGGATAAGTGTAAAACACATTGTCTGGCCGTTTAAGATCCTGAAATGAGTGCCAGGAGTCAGTTTTGTGGGTGATATTACTGGCTTTAAAGGGGTTTTAAAAAGGTGTAAATAGTTGGATAAGTGTAAAACACATTGTCTGGCCGTTTAAGATCCTGAAATGAGTGCCAGGAGTCAGTTTTGTGGATTATATTACTGGCTTTAAAGGGGTTTTAAAAAGGTGTAAATAGTTGGATAAGTGTAAAACACATTGTCTGGCCGTTTCAGATCCTGAAATGAGTGCCAGGAGTCAGTTTTGTGGGTGATATTACTGGCTTTAAAGGGGTTTTAAAAAGGTGTAAATAGTTGGATAAGTGTAAAACACATTGTCTGGCCGTTTAAGATCCTGAAATGAGTGCCAGGAGTCAGTTTTGTGGATTATATTACTGGCTTTAAAGGGGTTTTAAAAAGGTGTAAATAGTTGGATAAGTGTAAAACACATTGTCTGGCCGTTTCAGATCCTGAAATGAGTGCCAGGAGTCAGTTTTATGGATTATATTGCTGACTTTAAGGGGGTTTTAAAAAGGTGTAAATAGTTGGATAAGTGTAAAACACATTGTCTGGCCGTTTCAGATCCTGAAATGAGTGCCAGGAGTCAGTTTTGTGGATTATATTGCTGACTTTAAAGTGGTTTAAAAAGGTGTAAATAGTTGGATAGTGTAAAACACGTTATTTGGCCGTTTAAGATCCTGAAATGAGTGCCAGGAGTCAGTTTTGTGGATTATATTGCTGACTTTAAAGTGGTTTAAAAAGGTGTAAATAGTTGGATAAGTGTAAAACACGTTATTTGGCCGTTTAAGATCCTAAAATGAGTGCCAGGAGTCAGTTTTGTGGGTTATATTACTGGCTTTAAAGGGGTTTTAAAAAGGTGTAAATAGTTGGATAAGTGTAAAACACATTGTCTGGCCGTTTAAGATGCTGAAATGAGTGCCAGGAGTCAGTTCTGTGAGTTAACTCACTGACTGAAGAGATATTTTAAAAGAATACTTACTAATATGATTTGGCCGGTACAGTTTATCAAAATGAAGGCAGGAGTTAGTGTTATGAAGTAAAGCTTATCTAGATCAAGGTACATACCATTGTTCGAAGTCTGTGACCTGTGTCTGCGACGTCAAATTCCGGAAAGTTGCACGGTTTTATCGGCTACATTTTCATCATAAGCAAGAGTTTTCGAAATATGATAAATGAATCAAGTTAAAATGACAAAGAGAAAGTAATAGATTAAATGGAACATAGAAGTAATGGAGATTTTAGCTAAATAATAATTATTTTAAACGTACGGAAAGATCAAAAAAGTGTTTCGCGTCAACTTTGACTGTACAAAGAACTGACGCTGCTGGCTTGGATTGACATCCTCCGCAAACATTTTCAATTTATATTTTCACACGCGCGCACGTGAAAGTGCGCGCGGTTTTTAAAACCAGCGCATTGGTAATTTTCAGTGGTATCGGCAGGTAACATTTTTATTTTTCTACTATAAACATTGCTCAAGTTATGACCATTTTAATCTCGAAAATGTTGACTTTTTTTTGCATCTTTTTAGAAAGATATTTTTTTAAACTACTACTATGTCAAAATTATAATACGTGAAGACACAAATTTTGTATTGTACATGTGAAATAGACAAATTGCAAGCGGACTGTACCATTATTAATAACTCAAATAAAAAATTTTCATTTTAATTCGGCTATTAAACGTTTCCTATCAGAATAAGCAATAAAAACGTCCAAAGGAGGTCCCATCTGTGCGCGTCGGGGTGGCTTCTTATCTTATAATTATTACTTTTAACATTACTGTTAGTAATATAGTATGTAACAAACCTAAAGTTAAAAGTTACATAGTATCACTATTACTCCGATGTACGCGGAGTTTAAGAGAAAGGAAAAAGCCACGGTGAATTGGGATTTTGATTGTTTACATTATGTATGTTTTCAGTTATGCACTATTCGGGGAAGGGAAATGGACGCAAGGTAAATCGGGTTAGCGGTAAATCGGGGCACGGTAACAGTAACCGTAACCGTAACCGTAACCGTAACCGTAACCGTAACCGTAACCGTAACCGTAACCGTAACCGTAACCGTAACCGTAACCGTAACCGTAACCGTAACCGTAACCGTAACCGTAACCGTAACGGTTACGGTTACGTTAACAGTCCATTTCCCTTCCCCGAATAGTGCATAACTGAAAACATACATAATGTAAACAATCAAAATCCCAATTCACCGTGGCTTTTTCCTTTCTCTTAAACTCCGCGTACATCGGAGTAATAGTGATACTATGTAACTTTTAACTGTAGGTTTGTTACATACTATATTACTAACAGTAATGTTAAAAGTAATAATTATAAGATAAGAAGCGTGCCATGTTGAACTTATCGCAATTCGCAACGGTCAATTCACACTTCACACTTGCTTTTAGTTCTAAAGGTTATTTTTTAAACATAGCTCATCGGACGTTATTTTATCCGTACCGCCACCGGACATAATGTCAACGGGCATAACTTTGAGCGGGCATTAAAATGAACGCTAGATCGATCGAGCTTAGCTTGTAGCATTTGCAATTATTAACTTATGTCCGTAAAAATAAAGTCCGATAAGAATAACTATAAGTTAGTTTTATTGATCATATTAGGTGTACACTGTACAACTACAATTAATTTTGCTCAGGGTTATGTTTTAATATTTTGGTATTCCCCTGTGTGTTCCAATATAGCAGGAATATTTATTGAATGAGTCAGAGTAGAATGTATATACTAATCTCTGATATTATATATTGAAACATAGCCCGCCAAGTACAGCACATACCTCAATACACATTACGGTGAACGTAACCAATGCGATCCTGAGGGCTATTATTATGAAAAGGTGCTATCACGTGATCTCGGTCACATGACTGCAAGTAAGACGCACCTTAGTTGATCGAAGGGGCAATTAGAATACTGAACTTGCACAGTTGCACATAGGCTAAATACTGGATCACCGACCGTATTTCTTTATATGGTTAAATTGGTCATGGATATTATTGTAAACTCATTTGATATGATTGTTATTTCCAAAACAATGTCAGGTCCATTTTCGATAAAACTTTCGCCATCTGAACTGTCATAATGTAAGCTTTACAACGGTACCAATTCCATAAAAACGATAAAAAAACCATCCACCCTACTGTAGTCCGACAGTCAAAGTTGTTTTGTCTAACTTTCGCGCGCGAAAAGTGGCATGCAACGTATGTCAATACAGGACCGTCGACGAGTCCAAATCGGCGCGCGTCCTGGTACGTTGTTGCTTTAACCGAAGCCCTTTCGCTTGCAGTAGCGTGTTCACATAGCCATGCCATGTGTATACGCGTACTGCGTGACGCGCTTGTTTCGCGCTACAGCAAGCGAGAGGGCTCTGGTTAGAGCAAAGTAGCATGCACCAGGGGTTAAATACGACGCTATTGTCAGCACTGCGCGCGCGCACACGTACCATATATCTTATGAGTGCTGATCCATTATATGTGTATATTCTACTTGTGAAACAAGCGCGTCACGCAGTACGCGTAGACACATGGCTATGTGAACGTTCGATCTAATTCCTAGATCGAACGCGTCCGATTTAATTTTTGCGTTCGATCTAATTGCATTTTGGTTACAGTTAAATTTTTGTTTTTAAAATAATTACAACACTAAAAATTTATTATATTTATGATTTACAATTTATATTGTAGCGCGATGCACTACTGGGTCGCGCCGCGCATCAAATAATTCTTCTCGCAACCTTCGGTAGATCGGCAAGATGCACCACTGTGCCTCACCGAGCTGCGAAGGATTGACATCGTGAATCAACAATTTATATAATTATTTAGAATTATATGATGTAATGTGATGGAAATATTTAAAAGGGGCATATCCTGTCCAAACCCAGGATCATGTCCAAATATTAAAATGCGCTGCACAACATGAAAATTCACTGTAACTTTGTTTGAAAAGCATCAATAAACATTAAACATTGTCCATAATATCAATAACATGACAGAAATTAGAATAAGCATGTAAAAGGTCAATTTAATTTTATCTAGCTTGCTCGTTTATTGCTTGATTCCCTAACTGCTTGCGGAGAATGTGCAAGAAGTTACGCTTAACTAAGGGTGCTCCAACTAAGGGTGCGATTACATTTCGACCGTACTGTGTACATGCTCATACGTTTCTGTTTTATGAGTAAGCTGTGGGATTGTAAAAGTAAGCTATACCAATGTATTTTTTATGCTGATTTCGAATAATACTTAATTGTTCATTAATACGTTTTGATCGTAAAAAAAAGGAATTGATATATTTTGTATTTCTTTGGATCTTTAATTTAGGTAAACTATAGGTAAAAATATAATATTAATCATAAGCTAAAATGTACTAATCTTTGTATTCTAAATCTGGAAAAGAAGAAACATTGTCAGTCAGTCGAGAAAATTGTCAGAATCATTTTATTTGTCAGAAAAGAATTAAGAATCTAGGTAAACTATAGGTAAAAATATAATATTAATCATAAGCTAAAATGTACTAATCTTTGTATTCTAAATGGGGAAAAAGAAGAAACATTGTCAGTCAGTCGAGAAAATTGTCAGTCAGGCTATATGGCAGCTTTGTAGATGTTGTGACTATGCTAGTAGTGGTCCCAGGCTTGCGACTGGAATTGCGGTGTTAAATCGATTTAATGGTACCAACGATCCACCTCCCACTTGTTGTTTGGTACTTAGAATTAATAGTGTTAGCTGTAGCCATTTATAGCAAGAATCTTAAAACTAAAGGGGATGACAAGGAAAAGAGGAAGGAAAAAGAATAACGGGACAAACAATTAATTAAAGTATTCATAGGAGCATTAGATATTGTAATTACAAGCTTCAATAATAAATCACTGACTAAAACTTCTAATTAAAATGACACTTGGTACGCTCGCCCATTTTCACTGGTCAGTCTGAACTTCGGTTTAGCACGTTGTACACTTATTCACCTAAGTTTCAGAATTTGTTCAGTTTAGCAGAGTTAGTACCCGTGTTTTAATAAATCAAAAGATATCAGGGGAGTTCTTTAATAATGTTACGGTCATCTAGAATACCGAACTTCCTGAAAACGTTATCGTATTTCCTCAGACAACGTTTAATGCCTTTAATCAGTCTATCACGGCTATATCCTCTATCAATTAGAATTTTGAATATTTTGTGAAGATGGGAGGTAAAGATATCCAATCTAGTGCAAACATTACCATATCTAAGAACTTGACTTGAAAAAACGTTGTAGCCAACCTCGGTTGGGATGTTACTGTGAGGAAATGTAAGGGATACAACATGAAAATTAAAATCATCAGTTTTGTTATACACTGATATTTCTAGTCCTTCTGTGGAAATATTAATATTTAAATCAAGGTAGTTAATGATTTTATTATTGGAACCAGCTCGCTCCATCTCCAATGAATTAGGATAAATATCTTTAATCAATTTATGAAAGTAAAGGTAGTTAATAATAGATAAATCGTCAACATATCGTTTATTATTGGATAATATCTTTGCTAATCCCATTTTCTTTTCCTGAAGTAAACGTTTCATATAATTAAATTCCTTTTTGCCAACAGTGAGATCAGCTATAGGGGAACTTGAATTTCCACCCATAGGAATACCCTTGGTTTGTATGAATACAATCCCACCGAAGACGACATAAGTGTTATCAATGAAACAAGAAATTCAATGAAACAAGAAATTTAATTTTAGCACATTTTACAGAATAAAAGATGTAAAACAATTCATAAAATATAATGCCCATTTGGTGTATGACTTTTTGTCCTTGACTGCTTGTTTGGTTTTGGAAGGACAGGTTACTAACGGGGCAAGGAATGCGCGTGCCTGGGAGCTTTTGCACACACCAAAACGCTAGTTCAGTTAAGTTTTTAGAGACAAGGCTCAAATTAGGACTATAAGAAAAATTGTTAGTAGACATTAGGGGTTCTGTTTAAAGTTTTTACTATCTAGGTTGCAGTCTTGTTGTGACAAAAAGTCTACACTAAAACATGTTTGATTTTATATTGTGTAGTTCAAGGATTAAAAATGCACCTTCAAGGTGGATATTGGAGAGCAGGCGAAAGATTATGGCTTAAATTTATCAATGGTTATAATAAGCTATAAATATTTTAAACTATACAATGCTAATTAAAAATTTCTTTATACTTCATTCTCAAATTAAAATTTAAAAATTCAAAAATATACATTCATTTTATTAAAACTTTCTCACACATACTTTACTCACAGGACAAGACTTGGAAAACAGTAGCCTAGGGTAATTTAATTTAGATGTGTGTGACCAGCCAGTTATAATGTTTGGAAAATAATATTTGTGCAGTCAAAGTCTTTTACGGTCCAATCAAGCAGGGCGTGGTTATGTTGATTAGCTAGTAGCGCACGTTTTAGCTTTCCTCGCAAGCACATTACACTAGTAGTAAAATCAGTCATTCTGAACTTTGGGGTTAAAATGTTAAAAATTCTGGTTGATCTAGTGTTGTGATTGTCAGGTGGGTCTGCCTGACAGATTAGAAGGCAGGGTTTCCTTGATGAACATGTGTAACCCTCATGTAAGGATATTGGAGCACGGAATTTCATTATCTTGTAGAGCTCCAGGTAACTGTGGTTATAAATAATAAATTTAACAGCCTCTTTTAGGTCATCTTGACTAAAGCAGGCATGAGAATCATAGGTTTTATTGGAAAAGAAACATGTATTACTGTCTCTTTT